CCCACAAATAAACCATGTATGCAGATGTTATTAAATGACTAAATATAACTATTAGAAATTCAACCGATTTTTAAAAGATACGGTCTGACTATTGAATTTGTATGATTCGAGTTTATAATAGTGCTTTTAATTTTATATCATTATTCTCGGTTATTTATATTCTTAGTATATTTTCTTAAAGTAAACATTATTTAATATTGAATTATTTAGTAAAGATTTTTGATTCGTGTTATTTACTAAATGTTGAATTTGTATGATTCGTGTTCATAGTATTGCTTATAATTTTGTATTATTTTTCTCGCTTATAATTTTTTATCATTTTTCTAGGGTATTTAGATTTGGATTATTTAATAAATATTGTTACTTTTTGTTGTTCTCTAAATATTGAATTTGTATGAATCGTATTTGAATATGAATTTAATTTTGTATATTTTAAATGTTAAGCATATTTTCTTTAATATATCTCTTGATATTTGAGTTGTCTAATAACTTGAATTTAATTTTGTATATTTTACATGTTAAGCATATTTTATTTGTTAAATTAGATTTTTTGCAAGTTATGTTTTTTTTTATTGATTATGAAAAAATAAAATTGGCTATTGAATGTATATGATTCGTGTTTGTAGTATTGCTTGAATGAAAGAGAAATATACATAGAAATATTTTCGTGATATATACTATTTATCTAATATTTATTACATAATACCTCTTCAGAGAGAGATACAGTGAAATATTTTTGTAATATACTATTTTTCTCTGTGATATATACTATCTATCTACAAAGAGATGTAATATTTATTTGAATCAGGAACTATCTAATATTTTCGTGAAAAAAAGAGAGAGATATTGAGGAAAGTTGATACTTTTTTGCGTGGATTGAGCGTGAGAAAGAGATACCGAGGAATGAGAGAGAGAAAGAAAGAGATTTGTTTGATTTAAGGAAAAGATTTGGGAAAAATAAATTTTGGAATATCAATTTTGAAAATTATAAATTTTGAGCAAAAAAAATATTTTAAAAGAGTTAATGTGGTATGTCAGATCAAAACAATCTGAGACGTTAATAGCACGAAACAGTTTGGGATAATGTCGTCCGTTAGATGATATTTTTTTTTGGTAACGAAATAATCTAGACTACTATTTATCTTTAAAATTCAAATTCGTTATACTTTATTATAATTATATCAACGGTGTATTATTTGATGCTAATTTTATGTCCTAGATTTTATTCCGTGTAGCATTACCTAAAATATAACCAACTTTCCCTCTTTTCTAAGCATATCCATCCTCTCTCTCTCTCACTTTTTCCAGCTCTATTCGTTGACAATTCAATGTTAATCTATATATATGTGAATCTCCAAAGTCTCTACCATCAAACCTAAACATTTTCCTCCCACTTCTAAGCATCTCTCTCTCTCTCTCTCTCTCACACACACACACACACACAAACATGGCTGATATTCAAGATGATCATGGAGCCCCGGGTATCAAGCTGTTTGGCACAACAATTGCAGTGCAAGTGAGACAAGTAAAGGATGAAACAAACGAATCTGATCAAACTAGAGAAAAGAGGCCGGACAAGATCATACCATGCCCTAGGTGCAAAAGCATGGAGACCAAATTCTGTTACTTTAACAACTACAATGTTAACCAACCAAGACACTTCTGTAAGGGCTGTCAAAGATATTGGACAGCCGGTGGTGCCCTTCGGAACGTGCCCGTTGGAGCTGGTCGCCGGAAAACTAAGCCACCATGTCGTGAGCTCGCCGGGTTCTCAGAGGGTTGCTTGTTTGATGCTTCTGGGGTGCAACATATTGATTTTGATGGGGTGTTAGAGGAATGGCACATGGCGGAGCATGGTGGTTTCCAAGATATTTTCCCGGCGAAGAGGCGGAGGAGCACCTCAGGTGGCCAAACTTGTTGACTATCTTCTTTGTCTTTTAGTTATAACAATGCCCAAAAAAAATCAAGTTTGGAAAATATTGGAAGCTAGCTAGCTTGTGTCTTGTTGTACACATACAAGCTGTTTTCAATTAAATTAATAACTAGCTAGTCCATCATTTTTGAAATTATCTATTGATGATATGAATATTAATCATGTGGATAACAAGTCTTACAGATAATATTTTCTGACTTTAATCCACCTTGACTTTTCTCGGACGACAGGAATGTGTGTGTGTGGATTGGGTTTTGTCACAGTGTTATGTTTTTCTCCTTTTCTAGATGGGGTTTTGTTGAGAAGCTAATGCCAATAATAAACAAAATAAAATAAAAAAAATTGTAATACCAGGCAAATTGCATATGATCTCCTGCAGCAAACTTGATTGTGGTCGCTCAAAAATGTCGTTGCCTATGACTTTGGTAGCATCTTACTTGCCCTGTTTCAATTAAGACTGAATTATGTGAACGCATGTACTAAACTTGCCTGAATAATGTGAACACATGTATGAAACCTATCTGCTTGAAAATTAGACCAATGAAATCTTCTCATACATTGAAAATAACGATAAGAATTGGGACCATCTAATAATCATAAAGATTATTAGATCAAAAATTTGAGAAAAAAAAAAAGTCTTTCTTGCAACTAGATTACAATAATTAAAACAGGTTAAAAAATACAATAGAGTGGAATCTGATACAGTGTTTGAACAGAATTTTAGAAGCAGATCAGAGTGGAATCTAATGCAGTGCTTGAACAAAATTCTAGAACAAGTATCTGGGTAATGAAATAAGTACTTAGTACACTGAGAATATATGGTAGAATAAAGTGATGCCACTAGAAATACAGAAGAATGAGCAGTAGTACTGCTGGGCATATCTAATCTCACTCATTTGATCCTTCAAGTATGCTTGCAGACCGTAAAGTATTTGGCACCCACCCCTTTTGTATATCACTTTAAAATATGAAAAGAGGAGAGAGAAAAAGAGACCAATACCAAGCACAAAGTTTGTGCCGTTTCATAAGCTTTTTGTAAGTTTTTTTTTTTTTTTTACATTTTTTCTGAGTAACGTTTGTTTTTCTTTTTCCATTTATGCATATTTTTTTTTTTCATCCCTGATTGCTATTTTCCTCTTAAGTTTAATCGCATGCGAGAGGGATCCATTATTTGACTAAATAGTAATTTTACTTAGACTAAATTTGTTTATTTAATCCACCTTTGGCATTACAGTTTGGTGTAATTCAGACATGTCACCCTTAAATTTTACTATTTTGAGTGCAAATAGTTACACTAACAATCCATTACTGTCAATCAAACAATAATATTTGATATAATCATGAAATTAGTTTATAAATTTAGCATAAATAACGTTATTATTGACTAAAATGTGAAGCGGTGTATAATTGTTTTTTACTATTCTTTTTTATCTTTTTGTTGGTGGGGATGTGGAGTAGGTAAGGGTTTTCTTTTTTTTTTGGTTAGAAACTATTAAAAAGAAGAATGACAATAAGATTCAAATCCACGACTTTAAAATTCAATAGCAGAATGATGACCATTACGCAACCGCAAAGCTTATGATTTTAGCATTTCACTAGAAAGGTGAAAGGGTTGTTCCACCCAGGTGGCTTCGGGTGACCTTTAAATGATTCTCTCTCACTCCCCATGTCATATCTTCGGTTCAAATCCCTTTTATGTATTAAAACTTAAAAGGGTAAACTATTTGATGTTCATATTTCGACAGCCTATGATTTGATAACAACAACAAACTTTATTTTTTTGAACGATAAATAGTTTATTGATCTAAAAATATAAAATGTATAATAAAACTCAAAACACGTCTAGAAGAACACACGTATTAGCACTCAAAATAACAGTGTTTTAAAATTCGACCCGGTCCGACGGGTCAACCCAGGAAACCGGTGAACCGGTGCCTGAGCCGGGCCGGTTCTTTAATTGGATCGGTCTAACAAATAGCCCCGCTCGAAGACCGTTCAAACCGGCTTAAACCAGTTATTTTTTATGAACCCGTGCAATCCGGTCCGATTTTCACAATTCTATTTTTATATTAAAACGCAAACATAAAATATTAAAACTTAACTTCAAGGTTCAAACATAAAATATTCAAACCAAACTTAAAAAGAAATTGACATTCAGCCAGCAAGTTTTGACCACTAGCACTAAGAACTAAAGAAGTGCCACACTTTTATTGGCAAATAGTCCTCGTAACTCTCTGTGAGTTTTCGATTGTGAGTTTTCGATGTGGGATATGTAGTGCTCTTAAATTGTCATTGTTTTTTCTATCAATTTTTCTTTTAGTTTTTTAGGCATCATATTATTACTATTTATAATAAATATTTAATATTTTTTAGTGAATTATTTTATGCTCTGTCAAATTATATCATTTATGTAAGCAAATTAATAATTTGAGGATATTTTTTGTCTATTTATTTCATTTACTATAACATAAAATATGTTATTTTTGTAATTAATATAATTTTTTAGCATATTTATTATTATTATTATTATTATTTATTATTAATTATATGACTGGTTCGACTGATTGACCCACAGTTAAACCAGTAACTCATTGACCCGGTCCATTTATCGGGTTGATGTGCGGGCCGGGTTTAAAAACTATGCAAAATAGTCTATTCTAGACAAAACACAAACCTAGTCTAGGGAAAAAAAGAGAGACTAGGTAGGATCTTGCCTATGCAAGAATTGTTTTTGATCCAAAACGTACGTTAGGTAGGTCTTTGGATTAAGTTTAACTAGAACAAAATTATTCATCTCAAAAAGTGATCAGAAAAAAGAAGAAGATAATTGTTGACATTCAATCTTCTCAAATATGCATAATTCCTTGTGGGGAGGTACTTTTGCCTCTCACGAATTACACTGTAAAATTATCCAACACAATGGTAATCAAATTCCTATAATCAAAAGGGTATAGCCTCAGGCTAACAAAACCTGATAAACACTCATTATGTGTAAAGATAAGGATCCAAACAACTGTTTTCAAAAGTCTTGATCTTATTCAAATTTCAGGAGGGATCATATTCAATTCCTTAAAGACCTCGCTGCACTCGGGTTTAGCTTCCTTGGTCAAGAACCCTAGAGGGTTGGCATGGCGAACCTCCGAGGCAATGCCACTATTGACTGTGAGGGTGATTCTGGCTGCTTCTCTTTGCCATCCCTTCGGGCCAGATTCTGAGCATTCCGGCTTGCCGCTTTTCACGAGCAAGATCTCGCAGATGTCTTCCTCGTGTTCGCCCTCCACCGGTAGGCTGTAGGTACCGGATTTATCGGTTACTCCCTCAATGCTGTATGTTAATTGCCCACCTTCATTGGCTCTGCACTCTAAACGCACCTTTGCACCTACAACCATGGAAATGTGTTACAAACTTTCAAAAAAAAAAAAAACAGACAATGGTACCTTCGTTTGTATAGTAGGATCACATTAAATGCATATCTATAGTTTCTCAAAAGTTACTTTTAACTGTTGTTTCATGGTGCTTTTAGGGGTAGAGCTGAATATGGTTTGTATCATGTAGAGTTTGTACTGTGTCAAAATTTTCTTGACATAAACTATCCTACCCTTGTATAGTCGAGTTTCTGTTATCTTGGGATTTTATGTGATACATCGTGTTTTTAGTCAAATTCTTGTTGTATTTGGTTGGATTGTATCGTGTTTAATTGGGTTTTTACGGACTCAATTGTTAAGTGAATATACGTTAATTTGAGACCGAATAATTATATATTAAAATCACGTGGATTATGCCTAAGCTAGTTTGCCCTACCTAGAAGCAACAATAACGAATAGGATAAATTATAAAGAAGCCCAACGGATTTAGAAGTTGATCAAGCACCCATTTATAAAGCTCAAGATCTTGACTTTGAGTCTCCTATTGGTACCACTTCTTAAGGTTTATGCTTCTAATTACCATTTACCAGGTGATTCATATTAAATGGAGGGAGAACATATATCCCGAAAGATTAGTAAAAGAACGTATATAGCTACCTCCTAGTTTGTCTCGTACCTGGCATGAACTCGCTGAGTCTAGTCATGAATTGGGCACGGCATGGGTCACAATAAACCTGGCCCTCGACAAAGAAGTGAGCATCACGGCATTGAACAATGCCAATAAGGGAAAAGAAGCAAAGAGCAGTGGTGAAGAGAATTGCAGTTTGAACAGTTTTCGCCATTGTTGTTCTTTCTTTTTGTTTTCCAGACAATGTAATACCAAATTCTAGGAAGATGTAAGAGAGAGAGGGCTCTCTTTTATAAGAGGAAATGGTTGAGACCATTCATGAGAGGTTGTTAAATCCTTTCTTCTGGCAGTTATTTTTGTGAGGTTGGTGTTTACCTTTGGTCTCATGTGGCTTATAAAAATTCTTTGACTCGCTCTTGTACATTTTCTTTTCTAAGTTAAGACCAAACCCCCCCCCCACCCCTCTCTCTCTCTCTCTCTCCACACACACACACACACATGCTGAAACTTTCTTAACCCGTTTATTTTGATATTTTTGCATTGGCCATAGTAATTTATAAATAATAAAGTTGCTATATACAATCAACAATGGTTCAAAAATGACGAATTGTATTTAAAAAGTGGAAAGTGAACACAAAAAATGGTAAGTGAAAACTAAAAGATGAGTGCACTTCAAAAATTAGTAAGTCTCACCTAATAAATGGTACAAATACCTAAAAAAGTAATAAGTAGTACAACATTGGGAAAGAGAATTTGATACCTTACTCGTACCCCTATATATCGAGAAAATATTCGGTATTTATCAAGTACCGCATGACAGTGTCATGTGGTGTACATCACTCATAAAACATTATACATTTTTAATTAATTGTTATCACTTATAAAGTTGTCAAAATTTTTCTTAACATCCATATGCAATTTAATGTTTGACAATTTTCGTTAGATATGAGTAGCAACTGACATTGCTATAAGCACTGGAAATTTTCTCGTGTAAT